TTTTCTTCCACTCTTTTTTTTTCTCTAGAAGTAGCCTTTTCAAGGGCCAGATTGTTTCCGCTTGAAAGGGCCTGAGGTTGTCTCCTATCTTTCTGGGGGCACTGTAACCCCAACTCTAGCCCCCTAAGGTGCATCTGTACCCAAGCTGTTTTGGGGGCCACTGTGATCTCAATATCCACCTTACCTTCAGGATGAAGTCTGCCTTCCTGTCACCTAGGAATTTCCATTTCTTTCACTGAAATTGGCTATTTATTTGAAAGTTAAATTATGTCATTTTAGTCAGCATCCTCACATATTTGTGTAGCAGGAGGTGGGTAACCTCCATGAGTTAGCCGTCGACCATTTCAACTGGGCAATCTGATCTTTTTCCTCTGGGGGTACTTTATTATTATTATTATTTACATTGTTTAAATGATTCTATATACACAATTTCGTTTCCTGCTTTTGTATTTCGAAAAAACACATTTCCCCATGGGCTTGTGTCTTCTCTCGCAGCCTCCAGTGTTGAGCACAGGGCCAGGCTCACAGAAACCAACGAATGTTTGTTGAAGGGCATCTTACATAAACAAATGAACTTTGGAAACACCAGTCAAAAGGTGAGTGCATAAGGAATCCTGGGCTGAGAGGCAGAAGCTGAGTAGTGAACAGGGAACAGAATGAGGTAGTATGTATCAGGAAATGTGGGGAACTGTGGCTATTTGGACTTCTTCACAGGAAGTTCATTGTGCAGTTTTCATAGAACTGCTCAACACACAGAAGCAAGGTCGTGCCTTTCTAGATAAGTCTACAAATGTTTGACTCTGACTCACAGGGTGGGATCAGGAAACCACTTACCAGCTGCTATTGCTTCTCCTTCTTCTCATTAGAGGAGCCAAGAAAATGCTGCCAAAGCAGGTGATGCAAGAATGAAGCTGACTCAGAAATACCCAACCCCCTTAGGAACATCTCCAATAAACAAATTGGCCATCCTATAAACTCCCATCTGGAGGTACCCAGGGGAGAGCTTCTTACATTAAGGCCAGTAAGAATCCCTGGTGATTATGGCCACAGAGAGGCAAATCCAGATAGTAATTTGCTACAGTGCAAAAACAGTTGGCTTTTAGTAGAGAAATGAAACATTCAGAGGAGACAGAGTGATAGAATCTTACAGGGAAATCGTAGAGGGTGGAGACAAGGTAATGCAAATTAGAAACTTGATTTCCATCTGTTGAGAACCTGCCATATTTAACACACATATTTTTCCCTTCTAGAATAAGACAGTTAATGACCATCTACTGTAAGATTGTAAAAATAAATGCACAAATGTATAGCATCCCTATAGATGTGACACATAATCTGGTCAGGATCATTGTTTGCCTTCAGTCATTTATAATTTCACCAAGGTCTCATTAAACAAACATTTTATCATGTTAATCCAGACTGGGGCTTGCGGCTTATAATTACAGTTGCAAGCCTAAGGCCAAGTTTCTATGGATCTTGAGATGCTCTTTGTGCCAACAGTACTTCCATTAACTTATTGTGTGGTGGGGAGGGGTGAGGTAGAAGTGGGAATAGAGGATGGAATTACCATTTATTGAGCATCTATTATGAGTCTGGTGTGATGCTAAGCACTGTCCGTGTGCTACTCCATTCAATCCTCTTCAATCCTGAGGGATACTGGCCCACTTTAAAGAAAAAAAGGTTTTTATAATGATGCACAGATTAGTAAGATATACAAGGTCACCAGGGAGTTTAAATGTAGGCGGGGAGAGAGACAATAAATAAACCAACAAAATACCAAAAAAGTTCAGGTGTTAAGAAAAACAGGGCAATGGGACAGTCATTGTGGAGGAAGCAGAGACCTTTTAGATAGGGTGAGCTTCAGCTGACATCAAAGTTTTCAGACCATTTTGAGGAGGAAACTGGGGACTCCTTTACTTCAAAGCCTTTGGGCTAACTTTTTCCTCAAGCAGGAAAAAGCTCTGGGAAGACAGCCTCTCTAGCATGCATGTCACTGATGGATCAGCCATAGTCCCTAAAGCTGAGGCACAAATTATGGCAGAGAGGTAGGCAAAGGCTAATGAATGATTAAATAACCATTCAAACCCTACTCTAATCTTAGCAGAGAATCTACTGGTGGGAATCTATAGGCAGTGATGACATAACTAGATTTTTCAAGAGATGCTCAAACAGTGAGTTTTAACTATAATCGCACTTGACAACAGGTGAAACAAGATGAAATTTAAAGAGGGAGAGAGAATTAACATTCCCTAACATGTCAACGAATCTCCACTTTTCTCTACTACTTTAGGGCTAAAATAACTAGCCATATCCTGAAAATTCAATTTTACAAAATATATTCCTGTCTCTAACAGAACCACACTAACAATTTAATCTTCCTGTATTTCTCATTTATAAAATGGGAATAAACGTTAGAAATTAAAGTTCATGTTAGGCATTTCAGATATAAGATATTACACAATGGTTCCTTTGATCTGAATTACACTCTAAATCCCAACTCCCAATATTGGTAACATGTAGATGCCATAAGATAGTATGTAGTGAAAATTTAAAGGAAACTAGGAATTTGGGACAAGAAAAATTTTCTGAATCTAATTTTTAAAAATTGTATTAAACAATAAAGAATAAAAGGTAATTCAAGTATATACTTTCGTAGAATTTATTCATTTGGCATTGATAAGCAAATTAACTCAGTTTCACCTCTTTCATCAGCCCTCTTGATAGTTTCAATTTAAGCTGCCAAATATGTTCCCATAAGCTCACCAGCACACCTTCATTCCAGGCACTGAGACTTTGCCAAGTTGCCCCCAGGGTTGGGGGTACCTCCAAGGCTGACCTTCCAAAGGGCTTACTGCCATTTACTGAACATTGGTCTTTTCTGCTGTAAACAAGCTGCCTCCATGAACCTTCTCATTTAAGAAGTACTCAAACTTTCTAAAATCAATGTCAGAACTAAAAAGGAACTCAGAAGACAACTCACCTAGTCTGCCCCTAATTGAACACACAACAGAAGTCTGGAGAGGTCCAGAGGAGATTGTACAGTGATTTACTAGCAAATTTGGGACTAAGGACTAATCCTTCATACCAGGGGAACAAGGAAATTAGGTTTATCAAGGGCCTAACAGGTGCCAAACACTTGACATTTACACTGTTTCAATCCCAAGGAAGCAATGGCCCCATTTTGTAGATGATGAAACCAACCGAGAAGTTAAGTAATTTGCCAAGTTGCCAAGTACACAACAAGGGCAGGAATGAAACCAGTCTTGTTTAGCAACATCGTCCTCTCTTTCATTGTATCTCAATGTCAAAAACGCTCAGACTTCAGTGCTCCTCAACCAATCTTAAGCCATCCCACTTCACATCTCTATCAACTCAGTATTAAATTAAAAGTACGTGAGAACTAAGCCATCTATCACACACGGTGTCGGTTGGATAAGCATACTGCTCAGGCTGCAGGGACATTTCATTTATTTAAATGTTTTTATTAAAAAAAAAAAAAATTAAAGACCTTCATGGCACAACTTCTTCCCAGCACAGTTATGTTTTAGTTATACCAATTACAATACAATTACAACCAATAAATCAAGGTGAGAAGGGGGGACTTCTGACTTCAAACTTAAAAAAGAGAGGGAAAAAAAAGGTGAGGAGCCCACTTTAAAGTTAAAAAATACTAAAAAAGCCTTTCAGAGTTAACTGCCAACACAACTGCCTTATATTGGTATTCCATTGCCTGCTATCTGATCAATGCAGACACAGGTAGTGCTGAGAATAAAATGTCCCAATACAAGGTATACAGATGAGGTAATTTACAATAAAGAAGTTGTTACTTTGTAAACCCTTGCCCCCACCCACCCATTGGGTCTTTTTTTTTCTTCCCATGCTCTTGCAGTGACTCTCTAAGTAGCATTTTAAAAAATTCTATTTCTTTTAAAAGGCTCTTGGGTGGCATTTCAGAGTCCTCTGCATTCACCTTCAGTTTCTTGCAAGTTCTGATGTGTTAGGAGGTTCAGCTGTCTGCATCTCCCCACATCAGCCTCTGCTACACCTAGATTCTCTGAGCTACAAGGGTGGGACATGAAGTCCTGATTTACAACAACCCTCCTCCCCACCTAAAAAGAAAGAATTTATTAGTCATAAGTGTCCTGTTCAAATCACAATCCAGTGCAAACGAAATCACAAATTGCATCTTGGGCACATCTGGTGCTTTTAGCTTCTGCACAAATTCAACACAGTAACCCCCACAGCATTCTAGGGCATAAAAGGGTCAAGAACAATAAATACCCACTGTAAGTGGCCACGAGAAAGAAAACCACCCTGCCACACAGAATGTTTTCCCTATGGTTGAGAAGCATTATAAAAGGAGGCTTTAGCTTTCTCTAAAGTTCACCATTATATTCACTAAAGCCATTACCTTGATAGTTACTAGAGCCAAGATGGGTTACAAAGTTAGATAAGTTCATTAAATTACATTTATCTATGATGCCCAGATGAGAAAGGCTTATTAATCTATAAAGGTAGGAGAATGGGGAACTAAGACATTAGGCCTTAAAATATGTTGGAAGAATTTTTCCTAGTCCCCACAAGCAGCGACTGTAATGAAATAGGAGAAAATACAGAGCTGATGGTTTAGCTATTGTGCTTAAAAAACTAGGCTTCCTCAGTGAAGCACCTGATAAACTTAGGTGGTTGGATTACAGTGGAAAATCCACTTTACATACACACAAACACACAAAAACTGGCGACTTTTCCATCCCCAATCCCTGCACTACTGAGACACAAAATGAGTTTTATGGCAAAGGATCCTTAATCCCCAGAGACGCTTTGGCTTGTGGTGCTTTTTTAAGGCCTCTCTGCCCTGCCTGGTACCATGGGTTAAATGAGGGGTGTATAAAAATGGGGCCTTAGGAAGCCCCCACGGTACAGGGCTGCAGGCCCTTCACAGATGTGAATGTGAGAAACCCACCCAGCGAGACCTTTACACAGGGAACTTAAATCTAACCTTGATAAATAAAACCAAACGTTTATTTACACCAAAGAATTCCAACACTGGATCTTTCACATATGAAGGACAAAGTACTATATATATACACACAGCAAGGGGTGGCAGGGCTGTAACAAGAGAGTTTATAGTTTTCCCACAATTACAGGTCTACCATTTCAGTTTCACTGGAGACAGTGGCTCTGCTCCTACCTCTCAAATACATTTACAAGACTGAGAGGCAGGTCTTCTCACTGGATGGCATGTGAGGAAACGGGAAGGTAGGAGGAAAAGAAAGTAAAAGCTTAAAATGAAACAGTGTGGCCACATTTCCCATGAGCTCTTAAAGCGTTGTTAGCAGGAAACCTATATAGACAATTTTTTCTTTTGTAAAAAGCAATAAATTATACCCAATAACTAACTGAATTCAAAATGGCCAAATCAAAGAAAATGTAAAAATATTTTGCTTTCCCCCTCCTACCAGCTATAAAGTATGTTGGGAAATAAAAGGGGAGAGGACCAAGGTACAGAGCTTGGGAGGGAAGGTTATTCAAGTTTTAAACTAAATTGAAACTAAAGTTATAAGTGAGTTGGATTTAGGGTCAGGTCAGTAAGACATGATTCATACTGAACAGAAGTTTTCAGGACGTGTCAGCATTTTGGGTAGATTTTTTCAGCATCTCAATGTAACCATTAAGACATATTTCCACTAGGTTCACCAGGATAACCCCACTGAAGCACTTTTGGAGTATAGTTATGTGAATAATTAGCAGGACACTGCTTTTATAGGTTGGGTCCTCCCTCTTTCCTTCCCACTTCCCTTGAAGAAGCTACATTTTTGTAATCTCTGGAAAAGAGCATGAGATACAAAGTGTGGGATGGTGGGTGAGCAATGGTGGGCATGGGAAGAAATCCCCACCCAAATGCAGCAGCAGATATTGAGGCTGGTTTGTCTTTGTTCTTTAGTGATGAGGAACTGAATTTGGAAGGGGAGAAAACAATTTGTCCATGAAATATTCCACTTGCAGGTAATTTTTCAGGGATTCCCGAGTTATGAAAAGTTCGAGTAAAAAAAAGAAAGAAAAAAAAGAAAAAAAAGAAAATCAGCCTATTATAATTTTTTTTTTATGACTGAACTACTATAAATCCACAAGCAACGGTTCAGACACGGTGCTTCTTAAGTATTTCACCCCCTCCCCGCCAGGCGCAAGCTGCATCAAGGAGAGAGTGGACTCTCCCACCTCTGCTCAGGCATCAGGAGACAGAAGGGGCCATTACTGCTGAGCGCCAGCCGCAGCCGGAACAGGCATCCCAAGGGGGTTGGCAGCAGCAATCACTGGTGAGCCTGCCAGAGGTCCGAGGGGTGAAGGGGTTGGCACTGAAGAAATCCCTGAAAGAAAACAGCTGACAGTGAGCCAGAGATACCAACCATGGAAATCTGTCACCGATTTTCCATAGCTCCTACCTCAAAAGTGAAACAATAATTATTTTTATTGAAGGCATTGCCTTAGCCAGATTTTTACATATGAAACAAATTTCAAATTAAATCCTCGTGAATTAAAACGGCCAAGTTCTAATTAATTTAGAAGTAAAGAAATTCATGCTTGGAGAGTTTAAGCTGTTTGACCAAAGGTAAACAGCTAGTAAAGTTGGCAACTATGCTTGGATTCAAACCCAGGCCTTTCTAGGGCGGCACTGTGCAATCAAATTTTCTGCTCTGTAATCTGTGCTAACATGGCGGCTACTAGCCACATGTAGCTATCAAGTACTTTAAATGTGGCTAGCGAAACTAAGAAATGGATTTTTAACATTTATTAGATTTTAATTAATTTAAATAGCCACATGTGGGTAGTCACTACCACAACTGAACAGCAGAGAGCTAGAGTCAAAGCTCGTGCTTACATCACACTGCCAGCTAGAATTTCAAAATGACTTATTTTTAGTGGGGAAAGGAGCACTTCTACCTCTCAGCTAAAATAGAGTTTGAGAATTTATTTCCATTTGGTTTCTTCCACCCATCCAATGACCGGAATTACCTATTAATTGCCCTTGATCAGCCAGTTAATCAATTTTCAAAATGTTATATTTTTTGAACAGGCAGTATTATTCACAGAGCTCTAAACACAAAAGATTCAAAAAGAGTATATACAGGAATAAATCTCCCTTGCCCTGTCACTTGGCCAGTTATGGCACCATTTCTGGGGTGTATCTTTCCAGAAATATTTTATACATATACATGAATATAGTTTTATAAGACTATTCATATGAGGATCATATATAGAAATATGATTACATACTTTTGCCCACTCCTGGTCTTGGACATGGTTCTGCTTCTTGCTTATTTCACTTCACATTATTTTGAAGTTGGAGATAGAAAACAACACAGAACACTCATTCTTTTCTCTGGCCCTATAGCACCCCACTGAATGGACGCCCCATAATTCATTTAACCAGTTCCCTACTGAGAGCTGTTTCCAATGTCTTGCTATTATCAATAAGGGTACAACAAATAATATACATCACTTTGTACATGGGTAAGATAACCAGAGGATAAATTCTAGAAGGCAGCTAGGTCGTTAAAAAATAACTGAGATAACAGCAATTCTTTGAGGGTATCTAAATAAATGCTCTCTCGCCCTGGCCAGTTTGGCTCAGCGGTTAGAGCATTGGCCTGCAGTCCAGAGAGACCCAGGTTCGGTTCCCGCTAAGGGCATGTACCTCGGTTGCAGTTTGTCCCCGGCCCTGGTTGGTCATGCGGGTGGCAGCCACTCGATATGTCCCTTTCACATCGATGTTTCTCTCTCTCTCTCTTCCTCTCTCTCCCTCCCACTCTACCTGAACAAAAAATGGAAAAATGTCCTCAGGTGAGGATTAAATAAATAAATAAATAAATAAATAAATAACTGCTCTCACTACCACAAGTTACACACATGGATGCTGCCTATAATTTCTTTAGAATAATTGTATACTCTGTACAAAAACTCGCTCTAAATCATAGTGACCCAATAATGAAAAACAGCCCGGCTGGTGTGACTCAGTGGTTGAGCACTGACCCATGTACCAAGAGATCACCGGTTCGATTCCCAGTCAGGGCACATGTCCAGGTTGTGGGCCAAATCCCCAGTGAGGGGCATGCAGGAGGCCGCCAATCGATGTTCTCTCTCATTGATATTTCTATCTCTCTCTCCCCCTCCCTTCCTCTCTCTAAAATCAATAAAGAAAAAAAATAATAAAAAATAATTTCATATAAATATTTATAATTTACTAGGTATATTGTAGTTGCTCTAGAAAAAAAAAATCAAAGAACCATTCTTATACGCATATATACCCGATGTACAAATCACACCTCTACTCTCCCCAATTTCTTAATCTTGTTTCTGAGGAACATGTCAACTACTATCACTAAACTGTGAGATAAAAGGATCACTTTTTATTCTTCATGACTTGTTGGGACATTCATGTCCCTCTACGAGAAATTTTGGGGATTCTGGCCCAGAAGAGCCTGTTGATAGCCTACTCAAGGTTGTCTGAAGTATATCAGGTGTCAAAAGCATCCTGAAACCTAGTGGAAAGAGCCACACAGGTTAGTATACCAATAAAGAAATCGCAACAGAGAAGAGGAGGCCCACAAGAAATCAGGTCACAAACAGGGACCAAATCAGGCCACAAATAAAGAGAATAACTGACTTTTACCTGCCCCATCCCCTTTTTAGAAATTCACCAATAAACTGACCTGACATCATATTGGCGCTGCTGACAGGCGTACTGCCTCCTGGCATGTTAGATGAGCCCATCCGAGCTTGGTCCTTCACAACAGTGTCTAGAAAAAGACACAAATGTTAGGTTCTGTCATGCTTAATGATTAAACTAATGGTCTTAAAGCAGCCACTCTCTTTCTTTGAATTTTATTTATATTCCATATTAGTCCAAGAAGAACATAAGGTGGCAACTGCCTTGTTTTCACCATGAATTAGACAAATAATAGAAAACAGAATTATCTTTCCTGTCAAACTAGTAAAGGCAACCTCTTAAACTAAATGGTAGGAAGATGAGGTAATTATCCATGGTAGAACTAATTTGTAACAACACTGATTCCGTTAGGGTTCAATGAGATAATACAATCTAACCTGGCCTAGAGATTGATATATTATCAGAACGAACTGATCTTATTGCAGTCCACAACTCAACTTAAGCATGGTGCCAAACAGGCCAAAAGCTAAAGGTTGTGCAAATTAGTGATATTACTACAGATTTCATATCATCTGCTTCAGGTACAGGAGACTGGGCCACAGTATAATCGACTCACTAGAAATCCACCCCATTACTTCAAGGACAATCCAATGTTGAAGCTAACATCACAATGGGGAAGACACTGGTCTAAGTGACATTTTCACCCAGGACAGCACAGTTAGCTATATTCACAAACCTAAGTTAAGGTACTCATACAGTTAAGATTTTTAAGCTTCCTTGGCTCTCTCCAATAAATGGTAACCAGAGACAGGACAAATACAGGGCTACTGGTTAAATCCAACCCCTCCAGACCATCTAGACTGAGAAGTGTCACCCACACAGTAAGAAAAACAGTTTATTTAGAAGAATCATGTATTAAATACTCTGTTAGACAAGAATCCTTCCAACAATTCTGTAAGATAGTTGCCATCATTGTCCCCATTTGAAGAAATGGAGGCTCACTGGGTGAAATAACTTTGCCACAAGCTAAGCAAAGCTGGGATTCCAACTCTCTTTTGCTGGGACTGTGGGTCCAGAGCTTTCTTCATAGCACATATTCTCCCTTGCTTTGTATAGTCTGCTGGGCAGGCCTGCATAGGCTCTGTGGACTGGACAGTTAGACTCACAGAAGTAGGGGTGCTCCATGGCTTCTCTTGCAGTGAGCCGTGACTGGTGGTCGTATCGCAGCAGCTTGTCCAAGAAATCCAAGGCTTCAGGGCTGACAAGGTGCTGGTTTTCACTGTGGACAAAGCGTTCCCATCGCTTACGGGAGTGTCTGCAGAACCAAAATGGGTAATGAGAAATGAACCAAGGTGAAGAAAAGCCCAACATTTCACTCTTAAATTTTCTTTAGTGGCTAGGAGCCCAGCCACTAACAAAAAGAAATCAAGACTCAAGAGAGCAGTTTTATAGCACTCTGTCACTGGGGAGACAACCAAGCTAATTGGAGACTGAAAACAGCAGTGTTGCACAAGAGAGAAATCTAGGTCTTCACAATTATACAAAACATAATTCAGGTTACTTTACAGCACTGAATACTTCTGCACAGAAAGGAGGGTCAAGTGGCTGGGTTAACCAGGCCCCTTTCCTATCCCCTCATATTTCTGGCACCTCTGCCATTTGGCCAGCAAAGTCTTTGCATCAGGAAAAGTCCACCTCCTGGTAAGTTGTGGATGAATTAGTTGTGTGTCTAGCCACTATTTTCAGTGTCTGTTGTCTGCACATCAGTCTTGAAGCAAACATTTTCTATTACTATGTCTTTCTCTTAGACAGGGTTTCGTCATTTGGAGAAGCAAGCTAAATCAAGAGATTTTGATATTTGACTTAACTGTAACCTTTCTACTAGAATCTACATTTCATTCATTTTACAGGAATCCTTTGACTATAATCTCCACACACAGACTCCCGTAAATGAATCTGGGAAAATGGCCATTCAATCCAGTGCTTTTATCACAGGACTGCCCAAGCAGCATCCTGTAGCACAGGAGCACTGATGCTTCAGCACTGTTGCCAAAGAGAATGTCAACTTTAAAAAAAAATGGCTTTTAAAAAAATATACTTTTATTGATTTTTTAAAGAGAGAAAGGGAGAATGAGAGACAGAAACACCAATGTAAGAACAAAACATTGGCTACCTTCTGTATGCCCCCGACCAGGAATCGAACCGGAAACCTTTTGGTGCATGGGACAAAGCCCAAGCAACTGAGCAACACTGATTAGGGCCGACTATTTTTTTTTAAAAATATGTTTTTATTGATTTTTTAGAGAGACAGGAAGAGGTAGAAACATCAACAGGCTGCCTCCTGCATGCCCCCGCACTGGGGATCAATCCAGAACCTCTTAGTCCATGGGACAACACTCAATCCATTGAGCCACACCGGCTGAGACAGGGCAGACTATTTTTGGAGGATACAAAGTGTCAATTTACAAAGTGTGCCTTAAAGTGATTAAGGTACACATGCAAAGATTTTATTTTATGACTTACCTGCCCAAGATATCATTGAAACGTGGATCTAATTCAATGTTGTATTTGTCAATATAGTCATATAAATCTTCTGTCCCCAGAACCTTGGCTATCCTCACCAACTAGGATTGAAGAAAGACAAAAACTCACACAAGCACGTCACATGATTACATCAACAACTAGCCATGACTGGATTAACAGAAAGGGATTGTCATGGTATGAACACTACATTCAATTTACTTCAGATTTCTGTGCACAGGATAGATTTCCACACAAAATTCCCTAAATCAACACTCAAAGTGATAGTGTCAAAAAGAAACAACAAACAATTATAACCTGGTTCTTTCTCCTTGAAATGTTTCCCTGATGAAGTCTTAAGATTTTTCCCACCCTCACAACCCAGTTAAAAGTGTCACTTCTTTTGGGAAACTTTCCTTGTAAACAGATCACTCCCTCCCTCCCTACCATAACTGCCTTTTGTATCTTCTCTACGCTTCTACTCTGACATTTACAACCGTAACTTATTTCCTTATATGTTTGATTCCCTTACTAGTTACACTATGAACTATTAGAGAGGCCAGACCAATCTTTTTTTTTTGCATTTATTTTCAGATAGAGCAGGGCGGGGGGCGGGGGGGGGGGCGGGGAGAGACACACACACAGACAGACATCGAGTGGTTGCCACCCACACAACCCCAACCAGGGCCAGGGACAAACTGCAACCGAGGTACATGCCCTCAGCAGGAACCGAACCCGGGACTCTCTTGTCCACGGACCGATGCTCTAACCACTGAACCAAACTGGCCAGGGCCAGACCAATCTTTTTTAAAACATTCCCAACTTCAGTGAAAACTCACATGAAAAGATTCTAAACTAATGTCCTACTTTACAATCGTAAAACTTACAAAAAAACAAGCAACACAAATAAAAAGACTAGTGGAAAAACTCAGTTGATTTCAAAAGGCTAAACAACGCCCAAGCAACTGAGGATCAATATGAGGATCACCAATATGAGGATCAATGCTGGCCTGGCTGAATAAGCCATGAATTAACAAGGTCTCAGGTGGGGGCTGAGCACCTGTATTTTAGCAAAATCCACTGCAGTTTCTACTAAGTAGCCAGATCTGGCCATCACCAGGTTACACAGTAAGTTCCCTAATGGGAACAACATGTATCACCTGATCGTAATTGTCATGTCCATGAAAAAATGGCTCCTTCCGGAAAATCATACTTGCCAGCATACAACCCAAGCTCCACATATCCAAACTATAATCGTACATCTGCATTAAAGTAAAAAAAAAAAAGGCAGTTATAAATGAAATGACAAGAATTCTTATATTTTCTAAATAAAAAATTGCTCTTTATTTTATATATATATATATATATATATATATATATATATATATATATATATAAAATCACTCTACTAAAATGTCCAAATACCAATAACATCTTCGTGTACTTCTTTTTTTCAGTCTTTTCTTCCATGCATTTCCCCCATTTTAAAACAATCTATACAACTATTTTGAATTACTTTTTTCGCTCACATAAAAACATTTCAAACTGCTAGCCTATGGAAACCTTTTAATTATACTATTATTTTACTGCACAAATGATTCAGAATTTAATCTTTAATTTCCCCAAAATAAGATGGTGTTTTGTTTTTCACCATTATAAATAATATAATAAATAATATGTTTTGGTTTTGGCCAGGTAGCTCAGTTTGTTAGTGTCATCCTGATATGCCAAGGTAGTGGGCTCAATTCCCAGTCAGAGGACATAATCAATAAATGCATAAATAAGTGGAACAACAAAAATCAATGTTTCTCTCAAAAAATAAAATCAATAAATTAAAAAAAAGAATGAATATTTTTATGCATACAATATTTGAGTTCAGGGTTATATCCTTCAGACCCCAGAAAAGGAATTTCTAGGATAGAGTCTGAACTTTTTAAGGTATCTGATAACACCTGGGAGGGGTGGGCATGAAAGGTACTCCCAAGAATTTTGTTTCTGTGAAGAGAAAGAGGGCTTTTTTAGTAAGGGCAAAATCATTATATATAGAATACAATTTATAAAAATCTTAAGAGAGCATTTTTTAGTTTAGTCCTTAGGTTGGTTAAACCTGAGCTCTGGAGATTCTAATTAGAAAAAGTTAACCTTTGGTGTACTTTCTCTTCAGGTAGAATCAAATGCAGATCTAGTCATATACTACTGACATTATGACAATAAAAACATGGTAGTAAACTGAGGTGATTCATATAAAAGGGACAGTCATGAACGTATATAAATGACCCGCTCAAAAACACAATAATGTATTTCCGCAAATTATGTACAAAATAAGCATAGGACAGAGATTTTATTTGCCTTTCTCATCTCACCTGATAGTCTACAAGTAGCTCAGGACCTTTGAAGTATCGAGAAGCAACTCGGACATTATATTCTTGGCCAGGATGGTAAAACTCAGCTAAACCCCAGTCTATTAGCCGTAGCTGAAAGAAAAAAAAGAGAGAGAGAGACTAAATCATGAGCAATTTTATCTTTCAAGCTACTCCACATACTGTCTTTATAGTACTCTTAAAAATACCAGCCATTATACCAGCCTTCAGCGACCACCTATTATACAGGGGTGGACTAAATCAAGTTTACTACAGTTTTCGTATGGAAAAATATATAATACAAGAATAAATAGTAATACAAGAATAAACTGTTTCACATACCCACAATTGTGAACCTAGTTTTGCCGACCCCTGTATTTAAGATGAAAGACAATTTCAATTTGTGTTTCTGCAAATGTCTTCAACTGCTCACCTGAGTAGAACGTGTAGACTATTCACCCTAGACTCCTATTGGTGAACATCTCATCTGAGATACTTAAGTTAGACCCTTCACTGAAGTCTTTTCTAATTATCAAGTAGAACCTTTGCCTTTAGCCCCCATTGAACTTCAGATATACTTCTTTAATAGAACCCACCACTCCCTTTTTCCCCTTTTATTGATCTGAGAGAGGAAGTGAGGAGAGATAGATAGAAACATCAATTGGCCACCTCCTGCATGCCGCCCCCCCCCCCCCCCGGGATTTGGCCCACAACCTGGGCACATGCCCTGACCAGGAATTGAACCAGTGACATTTTGGTTGACGTTCAATCACTGAGCCACACCGGCCAGACAAACCCACAACTCTTTTAAAAAAATTTATTTACTGATTTTTAGAGAGAAAGGGAGGGAGGGAGAGAGAGACTTGTTCCACTTACTTACGCATTCCTTGGTTTGCTTCTTGTATGTGCCCTGGCCGGAGATCAAACCCCCAATCATGGCATATGGGATGATGCTCTAACCAACTGAGCTACTCAGCCAGGACAAACTCGCACTCTTTATTGCATATTTGTTTCCTATCTTTCTTTTTCAAAACTGACTGTAAACTCCTTGAAGGTAGGCACTATTTTATTCACCTATGTAATTTTTAAAAGCACAGTACACACGAGAAAAATAAAAAATATTTGCTGAGTGAATGTAGTAATAGAAAAGACACACAGAACTACCCTTATCAAAATGTAACCTGAGACTTCTGGTCAAGATGGTGGCGTAAGTAACCATGGTATCTCGTCCTCCCACAACCACATCAAAGTTACAATTAGCCCTGGCCGGTTTGGCTCAGCGGTTAGAGCGTCGGCCTGCGGTCCAGAGAGACCCGGGTTCGGTTCCCGCTAAGGGTATGTACCTCGGTTGCAGTTTGTCCCCGGCCCTGGTCGGTCGTGCGGGTGGCAGCCACTCGATGTATTCCTTTCACGTCGATGTTTCTCTCTCTCTCTCTGTTCCTCTCTCTCCCTCCCACTCTACCTGAACAAAAAATGGAAAAATGTCCTCGGGTGAGGATAAAAACAAAAAAAAAACAAAGTTACAACTAAACTACAGAACAACCATCATTCAAAACTGCCTGAAATCAAGCTGAATGGAAGTCCTACAACTACGTTATTAAAGCAGCAGCCACATCCAGACTGGTAGGAGTGGCCGCGGCTCGGTCTCACACCCAAGTGTGGCGGATAAAAATCAGGAGGCTCCCGCGGCTGGGAAGGTCCTTCCTGAGGACTGAGGGGTCCCCGTCCCACACCAGGTGCCCCGCTCAGGGTTCCAGTGACAGGAAGAGAAGTCCCCATAACTTCTGGCTGGCAAAACCAGCGGGAACTGAGGCTCAGGGAAGCTGAAGCGCCTGGAGCCCCAGGCAGCTCCCTAAAGGGCCCGCGCACGGACTTATCGGACTCTCTCCCTCTAAGCTTGGAGGGGAGGCAGCTCCACAGGCGCCAGAAACATACAGGGAAGAACTGAGCTGTTTGGCACTGGAGCGAGGGCTGGAGAGGGGGCTTTCTCGGGGACAAATGTGCTGTAAGAGGCCTTTGTTCCTTTGGTGAGCCCTTCCCTGGGGCGGCAGACAGCCCCTGTATCTGGGACTCCAGCAACCTGGCTCACACTGGTAGCCCCGCCCTGGTGATTCCCTGAGGCCCCGCCCCACCCAACTTTTAAGCCCACCCAAGCTGTTGCCAGTTGCTTAACCATAGGATTGGCCTGTCTTGGATCCTGCTTCAGGTTTTTCCTAAATTCTTTCAAACGAGCAGCATCTGGTGTCAGTGAGCCCCATACCTCTTATTAAGTAATACACTGAAACAAACACAGGGAGGCAGCCAAAATGAGGAGACAAAGAAACAGGTCCCAAATGAAAGAACAGAACAAAACCCCAATAAAAGAACTAAGCGAAATGGAGATAAGCAACCTAACAGATTCTGAGTTCAAAATACTGCTTATAAGGATGCTCAATGAACTTAGTGAGAACCTCAGTGAACTTAGGGAGGGCCTCAAGAGCATAAAAAAGGGCCAGTTAGAAAACATGGATACACAGAATTGAAGGAGGCATTAACTGAAATAAAGAATAATTTACACAGCTTCAATAATAGAGTATGTAAATCCAAGGAGCAAACCATCGATTTGGAATAGAAGGAAGCAAAAAAATGCCCAATCAGAACAGCAAAAAGAAAAAAGAATCCAAAAAAATGAGGATAGTGTAAGGAGTCTCTGGGACAACTTCAAGCGTGCCAACATTCGCATCTTGGGGGTGCCAGAAGGAGGAGAGAGAGAACAACAAATTGAAAACCTGTTTGAAGCAATAATGGCAGAAAACTTTCCTAACTTGGTGAAGGAAACAGACATACAAGTCCAGGAAGCACAGAGAGTCCCAAACAAGATGAACCCCAAGAGGCCCACACCAAGACACATCATCATCAAAATGCAAAAGGTTCAAGACAAAGAGAGAATCTTAAAAGCAGCAAGAGAAAGGCAGCTAGTTACCTACAAGGGAGTTCCCATTTGGCTGTCAGCTGATTTCTCAAAAGAAACTTTGCAGGCCAGAAGGGAGTGGCAAGAAATATTCAGAGTGATGAAAACCAAGAACCTACAACCAAGATTACTCTATCCTGCAAAGCTGTCATTTAGAATCGATGGCCATATAAAAACTTTCCCAGACAAGAAAAAGTTAAAGGTGTTCATCACCACCAAACCATTATTATATGAAATGATGAAGGGTCTTTTTGAAGAAAAAGATAAAATGTATGAACAAACAAAATGGCAATGAATACATATCTATCAACAATGGAATCTACGAACAAAATGAACAGGTAGAACAGAAACATTCTCATAGATACAGAGAACATTTTGTTGGTTGCCAGTTGGGAGGGGGGTTGGGGGAATGGGTGAAAAAGGTGAAGGGATTAAGAAGCACAAATTCATTGCTAGACCGACAAACCTCAAAGGGAAAGGGGTTGGGGGGGTGGGAAGAAATAAACCAAAGAACTTATACAAATAAAATAAAATAAAATAAAACTGTAGCTATGATCTACTTTAAAAAAAAAAAAATGTAACCTGAAAGGCAAAAAGTACTAGCAAGGACAAGAGGCAACCTTATTTGCCCAATGTGCACAGCATGAGCATGGTTTGAAGTGTGGGGTGGTAGGGCCTCACTAATGCCTGATTACTCTGTCACTGCCTCCATAAGTTCACTGTCAACTAGGTACAGTGTCTTCATTGTTTTGGCAAACAAAGGGAATGACAACAAAACACATGAAAAAAGTGTAACTTTTTTACAGTCTTTCTCTCCAACCCTTTAATAAAAGCGCTCCAGAGCTATTCCTGAACTTCCTTTTTTAGCAACAAGTCCCAGATGACTATTTCTGGTCTTGTAGCTTCACACACAGCATATCAGCATTTCTCACCTACACTCTCTAGCCCATGTCTCCTACCAGCCGTCTCTCCCTCTCTGATCACCTAACAGCATTTCAGAACTAAACCTCTGATTATTCTGTTTCTCCTACAGCTTTCCCCCTTCTCAGTTAAAGGTGATTCCATTCATCCTATCATTCAGGGCAAAAAATATTTTACCCTGGACTCATTTTACTTACAATCCACATCTAATCTGTCAACAAACCTTTTTTGTTTGTTAATCCTCACCTAAGGATATTCTTCCACTGGCTTTCAGATAGAATGGAGGGGAAGGGGGGGGGGGGAGAAACATCAATGTAAGAGAGACACATTGTCTCCCACATGACCCTGGACCAGGGCCAGGGATCGAACCTGCAACCCAGGTACGGGGTCTTGACTGGAACTGAAATTGAGACCCCTTGGTCCCTGGGCTCACACTCTAACCACTGAGCAAACCGGCAAGGGTTAACCTGTCAACAAATCTTATTCTGACCATTATCATTACCTCCACTGCTACTGCCCTCGGTCCAAGCCACCACCATCTCTTGTCTGATTTACTGCAATAGTCCCTTCTCCTAACTAGTCAAGCTGCTTTCACTCTTGCCCTCTACTCTCTACACAGCAACCAGAATGATCCTTTCTAAAAGCTTTATATTTAAAAATTATTATAAATTCACAGGAAGTTGGAGTTATCCTGTGTATTCTTCACCCAGCTTTATATTTCCCCTAATAGTTACATCTTACATAACTATAGTACAATATCAAAACAAGGAAATTGACACTGGCACAAATCACAGACAGACATTACGCACATTTCACAGGCTGGTGTGTGTGTGTAGTTCTACATAATTTTATCATGTGTAGATTCAGGTAACTCCTACCACAAGATACAGAACTGTTCCATCAACCACAGGTGTCCCTTATGCTATTCCTTCTCCACTTTCTAACCCCTAGCAACTTGTGTTCTCTAACTCTATCATTTTGAGAATGTCATTATAAACTGAACAATCAGCACAACTTTTTGAGATTGTTATTTGTCACTCAGCATGAGATCCAACCAAGTTGCTGCATTATCCATAGTTCTATCCTTTTTATTGCTGAGTAATACTATTAAGTAGTAACACTACATGGTATATATATATACCAATTTAATTAACCATTCACTCACTGAAAGACATTCTCCCCCTGATTTTTAGCTATTACAAATAAAGCTGCATTCAGCCCTGATTGGTTTGGCTCAACAGTTAGAGCATCAGCCCATGGACTCAAGGGTTGTGGGTTCAATTCCTGACCCCAGTTGGGGTCGTGCAGTAGGCAACTAATTGATGTGTTTCTCTCTCTCCCCTCATCCCTCTCTTCCTCCCACTCTCTCTAAAGGTCAATGGAAAAATATCCTCTGGTGAGGGTTAACAAAAAACAAACAAAAATAAAGTTGCATTCATATACAGGTTTTTGTGTGGATCTAAGTTTTTGTTTCTCTGGAATAAGCACCTCAGCTGGATTGTTTGGTAAGCATATGTTTAGTTTTTTTTAAAATTTATTTTAAAATTGACTTTAGAGAGAAAAGAAGGAAGAGGAAGAGAGAGAGAACAACATCAATGTGAGAAACATTGGGAACCAGGCCCACAAGCTGGGCATGTGCCCTGACTGGGAATTGAACCGGCAATCCTCCAGTGCATGGGATGACCCTGAACTAACTAAGCCACACCAGTCAGGGCTGTTTATTCAGCTTTAAAGAAACCGACAAACTATAAAACGACAGTGTGACATTTTCCAAAATGGCTGTGCCACTTTACATTCCCACCAGCAATGTATGAGAGACCGAGTTTCTCTGTATCCTTGCACCAGCATTTGGTATTGTCACTATTTTTAATTTGAACTCTTCTAATAGATGTGTAGTAAACTTTAAAAAATGCAAGTGAGAGCAAACCTTTCCTCAAACCCTGCAAAAGCTCTACACCTTCAGAGAAAAGTCCTGACAGTGATATTGAAGGTTTCACATGATTTGGCACTCTTTACCTCTCTGATGCCATCCCCACGCCCCAGTATATCCTTGTCACTATCCCAACAAGCCAGGCAGATTTTTTGCCTCAGGGCTTTTGCATCTTCTACCTGGGACATATTTCTTCCCAAGATTGTATGTTCTCTAAAATTGACACTGTTCCAATGAAATATTCCCAATAACTCTTGTTTAAAGCTGCAACACCCTGCAGTTTGTCCCCGGCCCTGGTTGGTCGTGCGGGTGGCAGCCACTCGATGTGTCCCTTTCACATCGATGTTTCCCTCTCTCTCTCTTCTCTCTCCCTCCCACTCTGTCTGTACAAAAAAATGGAAAAATGTCCTCGGATGAGGATAAAAATAAAATAAAATAAAATAAAGCTACAACACCCTCTGCTGTTCCCTATTCGTGATTTTTCTTCCACATCACTTTTAACTTTCTAGCCCACCAGCCTCCCAAAAGGGAAGCTCCTTATGGACACGATTTTTACTATCTGCTTCACATATATATTCCCTGCCTCTAGAACAATACCATGCATAGTATGTGTCTAAACAAATTTTAGTTAAATTAACAAATCACCTTCATCTCCAAAGCCTACAACAGAGACTCAGTCATCACTGCCTACAAATGGTGGGCTTGGTTATTTTACAAAACTGAAATGTTACAAAGCACGTGGTCAGTAGAGCTAGCACTTGTACTTGCTAACAAGCAGCAGCATTTTCTGAGTATTTCATCCATTTCACAACTGTGCACACTTAATTCTCACTATAACCTAGTGGCATGCAGGGCAAATATTAGCATACCTATCATACAGATAAGAAACAGGAGGCAAACGAGAAAAGAGTTTCCCAGATATTATTCAATAAATAAAAGCAGAAGCCAGGTTCCCTGCCTGAAACTGTTTTGCCCACTACACTAATCTTTTTCCTTCTTTATATATTCTTAGGAATATAAACAAATAAAGGTTTCAAACTCTGATCTGTTCATTCATCCACCAAATATTTGTCAAGTGCTTAATAGGTATCAGGGACTGTAACAGATGCTGAGAATAAAGTGTTGAAGATGGGCTGTTCACTCTCTATCATGTTGGTAAAGATCTGTTAGTCTATCACATTACCTTTCTGTGCTCATGATCAATCATGACATTATGGGGCTTCACATCTCTGTGCATAATTCCCATGCTATGACAATAATCCAGGGCCTGTAAGGGAAACAGGTAAAAAGAGTTAGCTTGCTTGCATAAGAGTGACTTCCAGTTAAAGTCTTTTACTTTTTCCTCCAGTTTTCTTTCTAGCCTCACAACACCCCTGGGATTCAGGGTTAGGACAATCACTCCCACAGCTATCCTACAGAGACTTGCTCAAGATTCCCAAGTCAAACTCATGGCTCTGAACTTCAAGTTCTGTTCTTACACAGTTGTTACATCATCCTTTCTGTTCAAAAAGACCCAAAGTGTACAGCAATTGCATCACTTCCAATTTCTCTCCCTTACCCAAAGCCTGGATTATCTTCATAAACATAGGTCCCTCAAAAGAAGAAAATGGGTCTGTATTACAAAACTGCTATTCAAGGAACAATAATTCTTTAGCAGCTAAGAGTTTACAACAGAGGTTGGTAAATCCTGGCCCATATATATGACCTGTTGCCTATTTTTGTAAATGTTTGTTTTATTGGAATACAGCCACACTTATTTGTTTGCATATTGTCTGTGGCTGCTTTTGTACAACAGCAGAGCTGAGTATGTGAGAAAAACTCTACGGACCACAAGGCCAAAACTTTTATTGTTTATCCCTGTAAAGAAGTTTGCCAACTCTTGAGTTATGACATCAAATCCAATTTGAAAGTCATGCTCAAACTAAGGTTGACTGAGTGGCACAACTTTTGGGGTTTGCTAATCCTGGCTTTTATTTAAGTCAGCTGACATCATTGGTCAAATTCTTGTCCTTCCTGAAGGGCAATTTGAGTTTCTATGGTTCCCAGGACTAGACAAGCATATCATTAACTTTATGAAGTCTTTTTTTTTTTAATCCTCACCCGAGGACATTTTTCCATTTTTTGTTCAGATAGAGTGGGAGGGAGAGAGGGGGGGGGGCACATCGAGTGGCTGCCACCCGCACAACCCATCCAGGGCCGGGGACAAACTGCGACCGAGGTACGCGCCCTTAGCGGGAACCAAACCTGGGTCTCTCTGGACCGCAGGCCAACGCTCTAACCGCTGAGCCAAACTGGCCAGGGCTAACTTTATGAAGTCTTGCTTGCCACCAGACTGCATGAACCAATGGAAAAACCAAATATCTCTTCTGGCACAGTCTCTTCAGGATACTCCTAAGGTTCAAATGCAGGCTTTGTGCCAACCTCATTTAGCAAGAAACTTCAGCCAACTCTTAGCAATTTTCTTGTCTATAAAGCTGATTTTGTGACTACTGGGAGCAAGATAATTGTTGATCCCACTTTAGAAATCAAAGTCTGCTCTAAATCAGCAATGTCTAAGCAGAGATTTACATAATCCTTAGGACAACGACCCTGTCACAGCTGAGATGAAGTTTACTGTTTTACTCGCTCAAGTTTAAATGAAATAAAGTACACTAAAAGCCAGCACATCACAGGCCATTTTTACAAATTTGAACAATTTAACTGATAACTTTCTTAGGAGCAAGATGGCGATTACAAATATTTAAGGGACCCCAGCTCTCTTCTAAATACTCTTTCCAAAGCATTCTAAATTATATTCCTACTAGACCCTATTCCATAATCCTTTCATGAGGAGAAGAGTTCTGATGCTATTAACTTATTTAAAACTTACATGAGCAGGCAGGCCTCTTCTTTCAAAATATCTTACAAAGTTAACTCACTAACTTTTCTATAGTCACTTGGGTTATTTAAAAAAAGATCAATCTAAAGATATTTAGTATCCAAGTTCCCTTACCTTCAGAATCTCGTACATGTAAAACCGAATATCATAGTCTGTTAACGTCTGGTATAATTGCTGTTAAAGACAAATGCAACATTTGAGCCATGAAATACTGCTGATGGAAGGCAATTTCTCATCCTCATTTGTAGTAATTCAAACCAAGACTTGGCTCATTGGCTATCATCCCAAGAACTATCTCTACACTAGTCTCTATTTCTGCAACATAACATTCACTTTAAAGAGATGCTTTGAGTCAACTCAATATGCAAAAGTTAAGAATTACTTAACTTGTATTCCTGAAGCTATAATTCACTGATGGGAATATACTAATTTATCTAAGCAACATGCATTGATATACATTTGCAATCAAGTTTGCTTTTCATTTACCTCCAGACCTTCATATAAAATGCATTTTTGGTAAATACACAACCTCCTTAGTAGGGAACTACCCCATCTGCAGATCACCAGTGGGTATGCAGATGGCTTGCTGCCAAATCTGTCAAGCCAATTTAACAGAATTATTCCTGTTCCAATTTGAAATAAATTTTGAACAACTGTTATGTACCTTTCCAGTTTCCAAAGAGTTACAGTCTTAAAAAACAAACAAAACATGCACATACCATTAAATGGTTAGTGATGTCATCTGACATTTTCTTTGAAGTTACTGTTCTGATTCTAAAACAGTTCTTCCATTTTTCCTTATCTCAGCAAAATAATTCACCCATTTATTAACACCTAGAATTCTTTTTTCCCCCCTCACCCGAGGACATTTTTCCATTTTTTTGTACAGATAGAGTGGGAGGGAGAGAGAGAGAGAAACATCGTTGTGAAAGGGACACATCGAGTGGCTGCCACCTGCACGACCAACCAGGGCCGGGGACAAACTGCAACCGAAGTACGTGCCCTTAGCGGGAACCGAACCCGGGTCTCTCTGGACCGCAGGCCGACACGCTAACCACTGAGCCAAACCAGCCAGGGCAACACATAGAATTCTTGATAATGGACTGGTGCAAAGGCAAGTCAAACACCTTTACAACTTGAAACACAAGAGAGTGCCCACATTTTTTTCTGTTGTACTAGAATTGAGAATTGTTTGAAGTAGGATGCTAGATGGGCTGGAAGTCAGTTATGTTGTAGAGGTATGTGTTGTAGCAGAATTTACACCACCCTTACCTACAGGAATCCTAAGGTATAAGCAGACCTTTTGCACACACAATATATTCCTTCTTGAACACTGCCATTTTAAAGTGAAATGCCCTTAGCCAGATCTTGGCTGTATACATGTTATTGCTTTCATTAGCTTTGACATTACGGGAAACTGTTGAGTGAATGGTAAAGGTGGTAAGAAGTAAATGTACTGGTCATTGAAGAGAGTACACAACAAATAAAAGTGCAAAATATCAAGATGTGGAAAGTAGCAGTTTGTACAGGAGTATTTTGATCTTACAATTTAACACTATGAAAATGAATAGCTCTTTTAAGCAAGTTGGAAGGAAGCTCTTCTGATAGTAGCATCCCTAAAAGGCTTTCTATGTGGTCTAAAAACCCAACAGCTTGAAATGGTTGGTTATATATTATACCTTAAAGTCTGTGTTGTTTACGTGTTCAAAAACCAAGGCGGGAGTTCGTGACTAGGGAAAAGAAAAAGAAAACACACATTAGCAATAGCCCTGGCAGCTTTAATGAGCACAATGTTTGCAGATGCTACATGGTGAATTTGGCAGACCTCGCCTCAGTAGTAGGAAACCCTCTATTGCTACAAGCCCTCCCCGCTCTGATCATCACCACACTTAGGTCATTTTGGGGATGGATTTCAAACAGAAGACATGGAGCTGAAGTCTCACCAGGCTCTAGGCAGCCCGACAATGCGCCCATCGCCCATCGGCATCGGACCTGAGTTTGCAAAATGGATTAACACATTTCAGTTTCCAGTGCTATCAGTCTCTTAGCCTAGAAGAATAAGAAATAGTCTGTGGGTGGAGGTCTCTTTGAAAGAAAGACCCAAACTAGTTAAATGCTATAACTGATTAAGCACTTTTAAAGCAGGACTTAATGGTAGAGGAGGGAACAGAGAAAGGCCAGCTGTGCTCTGAGTCAAACACCACCTCAGCCATGGTGGGCCTTGCTAGCACTTACTATACTCACCACAGGGTCTTTTACAATGTCTGCCAGTGTGATGATATTGGGACCGCCTCGCAAATTCTCCAAAATCTTTATTTCACGCTTGATTTTCTTCTTCTTTACTGGCTGAAAGGGTAGAAGTACATCAATGAAATAAAGTATTTCAGGTTATTTCAACAGATAATATAATGCATCAATAGCTTACTTATGAGTTCCTTGAAGGAAGGAAATGTGTCACACTCATCTCTGACTCCTTCTCCCAACCCTGTGCCAGGCACAGGCACTCTGTAGGTTACTTAGCAAATGTTCAATTAAATAAAAAAAGATTTCCATCCCAAAGACCAGACCTCTGAAGAATTAGCACTTAATTCCAATCACCAGTCTTAAAATGTTAACTCTTTACAACTACACAAACTAGGATTGTAAGTGGTAATAAGGTATGAAAAATCTGTACCTCCTCCACAAAGCCTTCCTAGTCGAAAACAGTCCTAGTCCAAAAGAAATATAATGCAAGCCACATATGTATTTTAAATGTTCTAGTAGTCACATGAAAAAAGATAAAGAAATAGCCCTAGCCAGTTTGGCTCAGCTGTTAAGAGCATTGGCCCACAGTCCAAAGAGTCACAACCAATCGGTGTCTCTCTCACATCAATGTTTCTTTTTCTTTCTCTCTCTTTCCCTCCTTCCCTCTCACTCTATCTGAAGATAAATGAAAAAAATGTCCTTAGGTGAGGATTAAAAAAAAAAAAAGATAAAGAAACAGACAAAATTAATTTTAATATTTTATTTAACAAAATATATTCAAAATCTTATTTTAACATGTAAATCAATATAAAAATTTACTAATGAGCAATTTTATATTCCTTTTTTATTTAATTGTACTAAGACTTTGAAATCTAGTATATTTTATCCTCACAGCATATTTCAGTTTGGACCTGTCACACTTCAAAAGCTCAATTGCCACAGGTGACCTGTGCCTGCCATATTGGACTACGTAGCTCTTTCCCAGGGTGTCAGTCACCTCAGACTACTCATACACTGCATACAATTCTCAAAAATTATTTTAAGTACACATTCTTTATTAACAAGATGAGTGGTTACTAAACTTTGATGATCAATAACCTGAATTTTTAAATACAGATTCCCAGGATCCACACATCTGCAGAGTGTTTTTTAAAAACTCTGAGCCAACATTTAAAAATGAGGGGATTTCATATGCCTATATAAATCTATAGTTTCTTTCTGTAAAGGAGTATCAAGTAATACTGTACTTACACTACTGCAGTACTCATCACTCACCTCCTCTAATCATAGGCACTTACACCAGACTAGATGCATATCATCTGCCTGCCCTCTAAAGGTCTGCATTAATGACTCCTCAACCTTACACAGCAGAGGTAGTAATGTACTGAAAACAAATGCATGAAATATAACTAAGAACAGAGGATATCAGTATTAGACTTAGAAAGAACTGAAACTTTACTCCCTTCCTCTGCCACAATCTAGCTGATTTGAGTCAAATCACTTCTCTTGCTTTAGTTTCCTGATGTCAAATGAAGATAATCTCTATTGATTTCAGATGACACAATAAAATAATGATAAGGCACTCCAAAAACCCTTTCAAGTGCTACTTTAAAAAAGACTTCACGCCTGGTTGGTGTGGCTCACTGGCTGAGCATTGACCCATGCACCAAGAGGTTGCCAGTTCCGATTCCCAGTGAGGGTACATGCTCAGGTTATGGATCCAATCCCCAGTGGGGGGCATGCAGGAAGCGGCCCATCAGTGTTCTCTCTCATCAATGTTTCTATCTCTCTCTCCTTCTCTCTACCTCTCTTTCTAAAAATCAATAAAGAAAAAAAAAGCCTATTATTTAAAACAAATCTAAATTCCAAATACCTCTGAAATGATAATCGCTCTCTTGTACTCACCTTGAGAATTTTAACAACAACTTTTTCATTATTTGTGATGTTGATGGCTTCAAATACTTCACTATATTTACCCCGGCCTAATTTTCGAACCAGCTGGTAATCATCTTGATTTCTGTAAACATAGAGTCAAAGTCACAATGATTTAAAAAATCCAAATTATCAAGCACTAATTCAACTTATAAGACTATTACCATTAAGAATAAAAGAAATATGAGGTATTTCAAATAATTCCTAAAGTTTTAATTGGGCCAATTAAAAATGGACGTGTCTTCCAAATCCCAGAATTAGAAAAACTTAAGCTTTTCAGTTATTCTTTCAAATTCCAAACTGTTTACATCTCTATTGGCATACCACATTTAGACGGCTTGTATTGGGGTTCGTTATATATGCTTGCCTCCAACAACAGACAGCTTTCCCTTGGAGAATAATTTTTACATATTCCTGTCTCCTAGTGCCTGGCTCATTGTTGGCACTTAGCAGGAAGTAAATACATGTTATAAGAATTATTTCAATTCAGCCACATCTAGGGAGCAGCCAATTTTTAATGGGCTTCTTTGCAGGTAAGTGGCTTCAAACACATAGGCTCGACCTCCCACTTATCCTCGAAGGCAAGCCCTGAAGACAGTCCTTATAATAAAGTTGTGCAAACTACATTACAGATCATGAACCATAGTCAGGGGATCCCTTCCTCTACTTTTACCCATATTTATTTCATCACAACTAAGCAGCATCAGAGTTTAAAATGTCAACATTTTCTCTCTGCCTCTGCTTACAACTTAGAGGACTACGCTCTAAAGAAGGACAAACATGGTCCTTTTAGTAACGTCTAAATTCCATTTATTTCTGCTGGAGATACTGAGAATCCAACATGTAACAAATCAGCCATTAATTTTCCTCAAGCAGCTAAAAAGAAAGTGAATGAAGAGAAAAGGCAAAAGGTACTAAAGACCATAAACAACGTAATAATTATGGCAGGTCTAGGGGAAGGGAGCTCTTAGTTCTGGTTGAGTTCTCCTCCTGTGGGAAGGCATAGAAAACAAAAGCAAGCAACCCAATGGCACCATGCCAAAAACTCAATAGTACCATTTTGGCAGAACTAAGTCCAAAGCACTCGATTTGAATAGAGTAGTTTAAATTTCTGTAAAATACAGAGGTATTCCTAGAGCCCAAAGCCTGTGATATAAGGGAAACTGTTAGATTATCAATAACATTTACTGGTTTTTGATGGTATCTTTAAATCATACTCTGCCTCCTTGTGCAGAAACAATGTACTTAACTGTTAAAGATTCATGGCCCAATAACGATCAAAATACATCCACAACAATTTTGGGAGCTATATTTATCCACTTACCAGCTATGGACATCACAAGTGGATATAAAATGTAGTATATGGAAACTGTAACTCTATGAGTTTTCAAATGGCTTTCTTTTGCACCTGAACATCAAAATGCTTTTTATCACAAAAGTATGACTTGATCAATTAAATATATACCATGTTGGGACAAGAAATGAAAACATCCAAGTGAAATTGCAAAGAGAACTGGAAGGGCAAATGCAGCTGTTTAGGCAGCATGCAACTGTTCAAGATGGAATTTGGGCTGAATTCCATGTTACACATGCCTAGTCTCATGATAAGGGCAAATGTTTAAGGATTTAATTTTGCTTCTTATTAGAAACAGGACATCTTTCTGGAGAACTGTTTCATCCTGTAGAATCATCATGGGACAACATTATGTCTCAAAAACACTTTATGTAAGTTTGGTGTTTTTGAAGTCTCTAAAGTATTTATTCTCACCTGACTGTAAAGCCCTTAGCTGAGGCAAGTTGATAGGCAATTCTTTGTTATCAGCTTTGTATACAGAATACATAAATCAGAGAAAAGTATACAAAAAGACTGAAGCGATTCTTAAATGTAAGTCCATCAAAACTGTTAATTTTTCAAAGCAATACTTTGCTGCTTCATTGCAAAAGAAAACACAAATCAGACTTCAATCTTAAGGTTTACAAATGCATGGTCAGAGAGGTTGCCTGACATAAATTACTCAACAGATCCATAAGAGTCAGCCCTTTGGGTGAGTATAGTGAAATAAAAGGAAACAATTACCCCCATTCCACCACATGTGACTCGTAATCCCAGTACTCTCGGGGTCTGTGCGTATTAACATCTGTGTAAACTCTGGCCCTGCTTGGCACGGGTCCCGACATGTCAGACAGGTTGGCGAACAAAGCTGAACTTGATGTTTGGAGATCTGGCAGTCACCGTGTTCAGAGGCAGCTGGGAGATGGGGTTAGACTTGGTTTAAGACCTGTTTTCTTCAGAAACAAAATGCACAAAGGCCAAAGAATTATTTTTTAAAAGCACATGGGAAGAAAAATCATCTTATAACAATGGCCTTAAATATACTTCTGGCTCTTCTACCTGCTAAACCAATGAATATATCCCAACTGTGCCAGTGCTTCCCTTAATATAAAACAAAACAAAACCCGCCCTGGTCAGTTTGGCTCAGCGGTTAGAGTGTCGGCCTGGGGTCCAGAGAGACCCAGGTTTGGTTCCTGCTGAGGGCACGTACCTCGGTTGCAGTTTGTCCCCAGCCCTGGTTGGGTCGTGCGGGTGGCAACCACTCGATGTGTCCCTTTCGCGTCGACGTTTCTCTCTTTCTCCCTCCCTCCCACTCTATCTGAACAAAAAAATAGAAAAATGTCCTCGGGTGAGGATAAAACAAAACCAAAACCAAAACCCTATTAGCCCTAATCCTATTCTGCAAAAGTAGCTTGTTGCCTCCTCAGCTAAAGTCTGGATAGCCTGGAAGGGAAAACTGGCAGTGAAGATAGACCCATCAGCATTACTACTATTTATACATTCCACAGAAAGTATGGCAAGAACAGTACTTTTCTTTCAGCATCTTTCTACCAGCTCAAGTATGGGCACTAAAAGGTTCTGGAATGGTGGCAAAGCCAAGAGTACAAACCATGAGTCTGACTCTAATATTTGACAAAACAAGGAAGGAAATAAAGATTTATTCTCACACATCAAAGTTCAATATCATTTTATATTGATCTACGTCATTTGGGGAACCTTATGTAACAATCGGTAGACCCTTGATCACCCTGATACACTTGATTTCATTAAATTTAAAAATAAAAACCAGTAATTTCCTCTTCATTTAATACAGGTACAAGCTTAATAAAAACTGATAGAAAACAGTAATATATATATTGGATGAACTAATGCAAAATTTGAGAAAATCCATGAAATTTTAGAAATATGGGTGTTTTCTACCAAATGGGTAAATTGTCTCCTTTATGTCTTCCCTGACCGTTCTGAGATTCTTAGAGCATTTGTTGATTCTTCTTACTCTGCATTTAATTAAAAATGCATCGAATCTTCAGAAGTCATAACACGAAGACACATTATCACCTATACAGTTTTCTAGCCAAGACTGTGTAACCTCAATCTAACTACAGGGAAACACGGGACAAACAGAAAATGAGTAAGATTCTATTAAGGGGGGACAGGGGAGATATACTGTGCTCTTCAAAAATGTCAATATTACAAAAGACGAAGAAAGGCTAATAAGACATGACAACTAAACATAACCCTATTCTGTACTGGAGGCGGGCAAATGCTATTAAAAAAACAATACTATCAGGATCAAATGACAAAACTGGAATTTAGATGGTAGATTAGGTATACTCAAGAGTATATTCACACCCCAGCCAGGTGGCTCAGTTGGTTGGAGCATTGTTCCATGCACCAAAAGGTTTCGGGTTTGATCGAGAGGCACTAATTGATGTCCCCTCCTCCCCCCCATAAAAATCAATGAACATATCCTTGGGTGAGGATTAAAAAGGAAAAGACATACTAAAACACAGTAAAGCAAATGGGGTAAAATATTACAATAGGTAAATCTGGGAAAAAGGGATACAAATGTTCTTTGTACTATTTTATTTGTTGAAACATATATTTTTAAAAACTGTGATAAAATATACATAAAATTTACCAATTTAACCATGTTCAGTGGTATAGCTCAGTGGCATTAAGTACATTCACTTCTCGTGCAATCACCACCTTTGATCTCTATTATTCACCAGCCCAAACTGAAACATACTCATTAAACATCAACTTCTACCTCCCTCCAGCTTTTATAACCACCATTCTATTTTCTGTCTCTGAGTTGCTAGGTACCATACATAAGTGGAATTATAACATATATGACCCTTTTATATTTGGCCTATTTCATTTAGTATGTGTTTAAGGTTCATCCATGTTGTAGCACATGCCAGAATGTCCTTCCTTTTTAAGGCTGAATAATACTTCTATGTATATGATAGGCCACATTTTGATTATCCATTCACTTGTCAATAGACACTTGGGTTGTTTCCACTTTCAGGCTATCATGAACAAAGCTGCTATGAACACTGATATACAAGTATCTTTTGGCGTTCTTGCATTAAATTATTCCGGGTATATGCCCAGAAGTGGAACTGCTCGATCACAGGTAATTTTATATTTACTATTTTGAGGAACCACCATACCTTTTTTGCACAGTGGCCACACCATTTTATAATCCCATCAACAACGGTTCCAATTTCTCCATATCCCAGCTAGCATTTATTTATTAATTTTTATGGTAACCATCCTACTGGGTGTAAAGTGGTATTTCCTTGTGGTTTTGCTTTACATTTCCCTAATGGTTAGTGATGCTGAGCTCTTTTTCATGTGCTTATTGGTCCTTTATCTATGTTCTTTGGAGAAGTAACTACTCAAGTTCTTTGCCTATTTTTTTCTTTATTGATTTGAGAGAAAGAGGAAAAAAGAGGAAGAGACAGAAACATCGATGAGAGGGAACATCAACTGGCTGCCTCCCGCATGCCCCCTACTGAAGATCTGGCCCACAACCTGCCATGTGCCCTGACCAAGAATAAACGAGCGACCTCTTAGTACATGGGTCGACGCCCCACCACTGAGCCACACCAGCTGGGCTTTGCCTATTCTTAATTGAATTTTCTATCTTTGGTTGTTGAATTGTTCTTTATATATTCTGATTAATCCCATATCAAATATACAATTTGTAAATATTTTCTCTATTGGTTTCCTTTTCATTCTATTGATGGTGCTCTTTGATGCACAAAACTTTTCATTTTGATGAAGTGCAATTCATTTTTGTCTCTTGTCTTTACTTTTAGTATCATATCTGTACTATTTGGGGGGGAGGGGTCTCATGTAAATTTGAAGTTACTTCCAAATAAAAAGTTTTATTATTTTTTTTAATCCTCACTCGAGGACATTTTTGCATTTATTTTCAGATAGAGCAGGAAGGGTGGGTGGGGGGGAACATCGATGTGAGAGACAACATCAAGTGGTTGCCACCCACACAACCCCAACTGGGGCCAGGGACAAACTGCAACCGAGGTACGTGCCTTTACGGGAACCAAACCCGGGACTCTCTGGTCTGCTGGCCGACACTCTAACTGCTGAGCCAAAATGGCCAGGGCCAAATAAAAGGTTAAAATAAAATTGGTGTAAGAAAACTGAGGCCCAGAAAGAGGAAAATTTACCCACAACCACTTAGCTACTTAATAGCAGAGCAAGGACCAGAAACCAAACTTCTGATTTTTGTGACGGTGATTTCTTTTGCCATAATCATAGACTAGATAACAATAGCTAACATCTGCAAACATTCACTATGTGTCAGCCAGATATGCACATTCACTATGTGCTTTATGTGGATTTCATTTAATCCTCACCACACCAATGATGAGAAAGTTATCATTATCCCCTTTTTACAGATGAGAACACTGAAGTAAAGAAAGGTTAAGTAACTTGCCAAAGGACACAGAGCTGGAGAAGATGACATTTAACCAAACTTTATTAAAAAAAATAGAGATAACTGGGGTGTGTGCAGGAGGCAACCAGTCTCTCACATGGATTTCTCTTTCTCCCCACCTACCCCTTCCTTTCTCTCTAGGACAAAAAAAAAAAAAAATCAATGAAAAAATTATCCTCTAGTAAGGATTAACAATTAGTTAATGAATATAAACTGTTTAGAACTGTGCCTATTTGAGAGCTCTGAGACCCATTTATGACAACTGTATGTTTTCCAGTGTTGTGTTTAAGTTGGAGTTTAGCTACCATGCACAAAGAAGATAAACCAGAAGAGATGTCTCCTTATGCACATGGTTTCAGTGGCTTAAAGCTTTCAGAGGATGAGCAAGAGATTGGGATGGGGTTTAATGCTATACTGGAAAGTGTCAACACACAATCAGTGATGATACTTTGGAGCCCCATGAGTATACAATTTAACTCTAGGGTCCTATGAGTATAAATTTAAATGGCCAGAAAACAACAACCGTTCAGATACTTACTAAAAAGTAAACCAAAACAGTTTTTAAAATTATTTCCAAGTATTTATTTCTCTGGTTTTATAAAACAACCAGGGTGATAGTAATCTAATTTACCTTTACCTACTTTGGTTAAATGTAAAACACACACACACCTTCCAAACAAGCAAAAATCAGAAAGTAGACACTTTTTTATTGTAACCTTTGTTTTCCCAAAGAAACAAGGTCCTTTGTGCTGTGGGATTGCTGGCTTTTTTTTGGTAGCTACATGATTGCATCGAAAACAGTGAGACATGAGAAAGTGACACAGTAAAGGTGTATATGTGTGTGCGTGCATGCAAAGAGCCAAAACAGTATAGACAACAAATGAAATCAGTAGAAATACTGTCCCCGGTATTTATGACTTTTATTAAAATGATACTAAACTTTTAAATTCTTAGCTGCTTCTGATAAAAACAGTACCTTTCTCTTCTGTCTCCATACTCCTTTACAGGCATCTATAGATCTCAATGCTCTTCTACTATAAGTTTAAGAAATTTGTAAAATCGGCCCTGGCCGGTTTGGCTCAGCGGTTAGAGCATTGGCCTGCAGTCCAGAGAGACCCGGGTTCGGTTCCCACTAAGGGCATATACCTCGGTTGCAGTTTGTCCCCAGCCCTGGTTGGGTCGTGCGGGTGGCAGCAACTCGATGTGTCCCTTTCATGTCAATGTTTCTCTCTCTCTTTCTCTCTCTCTCTCCGAACAAAAAAATAGAAAAATGTCCTCGGGTGAGGATAAAAAAAAAAAAAAGAAATTTGTAAAATCAACACAAATTTAGTAACTGAGATTACATACAATAGGGTGATGAAACAAACAGTCAAGTCCTGATTTCAAATCCCTAACTGACTACTGGACATCTACTGGGCTTCTTCCAGCTTTGGTTCATCACTTATAAAACCTGCCTAACTGCACTTGCAGACTGAAGAGAAGATC